TTGGTGGGGGGTGATGTCATGAAAGGAGGCTCTTGGTGGGGGGTGACATTGAAAGGAAGTCCTTGGTGGGGGGGTGACATCATAAAAGGAGGTCCTTGGTGTGGGGGGTGATGTCATGAAAGGAGGCCCTTGGTGGGGGGTGATGTCATAAAAGGAGGTCTTTGGTGTGGGGGGTGACGTCATGAAAGGAGGCCCTTGGGGTGGGTGACGTCATGAAAGGAAGTCCTTGGTGGGGGTGACGTCATAAAAGGTCCTTGGTGTGGGGTGACGTCATGAAAGGAGGTCCTTGGTGGGGGGTGACGTCATAAAAGGAGGTCCTTGGTGGGGGTGACGTCATGAAAGGAGGTCCTTGGTGTGGGGGGTGATGTCATAAAAGGAGGTCCATGGTGGGGGGTGACGTCATGAAAGGAGGTCCTTGGTGTAGGAGGTGATGTCATAAAAGGAGGTCCGTGGTGGGGGGGTGACGTCATGAAAGGAGGCCCTTGGTGGGGGTGGTGACGTCATGAAAGGAGGCAGGTATGCTTGGAATGATGCTGAGAGCCAGGTAGTCTGGGACAGGAATGAGACCAGAAAGGTCTTCCTAGTCAGCTTCTGTGCCCCATAAGACTGAGCAAAAATATTGAAGCCATTGACTGAGAGGTCATGAGACGATCTGAATTCAGTAGCACCACTTGAGGGTCCACACGTAATAATTTGGAATGGACTTGAATGCAGATTCCTGGCACATGCCAGGGTGACAGCCAGAGCAGTGTACAAAAGCAGTGATGTTTTTCCTGCCATTTACTCTTTTTTTTTTTTTTCTTTTTTTGGAAAGGTTTTTGCTGTAGGGCATGTGTGCTTGCCAGACAGACAGAGAGAGATAGAAAGCGAGAAATCACCCCCTGGGGGGGTGGCCACGCCGCAATCCCTTCTCCTCCATTCTCCTCTCAGGATGTTGGGCACGCACGCACACGCGCCCGGCGTGAGTTTAAGCCACCGGGTCCGGGACTCGAACCGCGGTCACCTACATGGGAGTCCAGCGACATAGCCTTTACTCTTAACTGTTGGTCCCTCTGCCATTCACTCTTTACTGCAGACCTGTTTTTGGGTTGCTGTAGGGGCTATAAGTTTGCTTTTCATTTTTTTTCTAAATACCATATTTCGTGTGGAACACGGGGAGCAGGAAGTGGGTGAATTGAACACAGCCAGGAGTGGTCAGGTTGGTCTGTCAGGAAGCCTAGTTTGTCTTTTTGTTTGTGACTCGGCTCCCAGGCAACAGGTACAACTAAAATGACATGTTTCCAGTACAAGGAAGCAGGTGACGTGCAAGTGTCCCTTTACCGTGCCTCACTGGCCTCGGTGGGTGAGCCCGGCAGTGGATCAGTTCTGAACTGAAGCTGTTTAGGTACCAAGCAGGAGCAAATCTGGATGGGTCCAAAACTGCAGGAGCGTTTTCCTCCCTCCCTGAGAAACAGTGAGTTTCAAAGTGTGGTGGGGAGTTGACAGAATTAAGAGGTGTAGCTAGATGAAGGCCCACCCCACCCTGGACAGTGTCCAGGTTTGGTCAGAGTGTCCTCCCCACAATCCAGAGCTGCCAGCCCCACCCTGATTGTACCCTCTGAGCTGGGTGGGGAGCAGGCATGGCAGAGGAGGAGCCAGTGTGCGATGTGCCTGCACGAAGTCCAGGACAGATAGGAAGGTTTGCAGGGAGAAATCAGGGTCGCTGGGCTCCTGCACAGGCTCTCGACCCTGTCCTTAACCACCGTGCACACCTCGGGTCGCAGGACTGTTGGTTTTCTGTCCATTGCCTGTGAGTGGACAGAGTGTGGCCCTCACTGGATATTTCATTTTTAGTTTAGATCAGAGCTGACATAAAGGCCTGGTTTTCTGGTCTGCAGCACAGCAGTTGGAAAGCGGCCCAGATACAGACACACTAACAGACATCCCCATGAAAGGGACCGACAGACAGACCTGGAAAGTCCTATGCTGGGAGCAGCATGAGCTCAGCAAGAGCAGGGACCAGCTCTGCAGATCTTGAGTTGCCCTAGAATACAGCAGAGAAAAGGAGGGAATTGAAGAAAACATTTTCATCACAAAGAAACTTTGCAATATAAAGGGCTCTTTAGTTATGTGGAAATTACACTTACGTGGTGACATGTTCCCAGAAAATGCTGGATAAAAGAAGTATTTTTGACTGTGATGATCCGCATAGGTTCGTACAGTCAGTTCAGATGACAGACGCACATGGGCTCATGTATAGTGTTAGCCGGTAGACGTCGGACAGCGTCAGGTGGGCGGAACAGTATTACACATTTAAAGGGACAGGGGGCCAGCTCTGGTGTTGCAGGAGGGCGCTGCTGGGCTCTGGCTGAGACCCCGTGGCGGCCTAGGTTCACCATCCCGCCCAACCTGAGCAGATGCTTTGAGACCAGGGACGCATGACGCAGCCTAGGCTCTCAGAAATGTTCTCCCTCCACTCACTTCCTCTCACGCACACACTTTTTGTCTCTCATGATAAAAAGAATAAAAAGGAGTTTATTCTGGCCTCGATAGGCAAAGACTGTGTTGCTTATCTCCAGGTGTTATAGCAGCAGTCAGCATTAAATCCAATCTTTAGGTCACACTGTTTTTAGTAAGTGTGGCAGGCTAAGTATGAATATATATTTTTTTTATTATGAGAGGTTTTTGCTATAGGGTGCGTGCGCTCGCCAGACAGAGACAGAAAGCGAGAAATCACCCCCCCCCGGGGGGATGGCCACGCCCCTGTGAGTGGACAGAGTGTGGCCCTCACTGGATATTTCATTTTTAGTTTAGATCAGAGCTGACATAAAGGCCTGGTTTTCTGGTCTGCAGCACAGCAGTTGGAAAGCGGCCCAGATACAGACACACTAACAGACATCCCCATGAAAGGGACCGACAGACAGACCTGGAAAGTCCTATGCTGGGAGCAGCATGAGCTCAGCAAGAGCAGGGACCAGCTCTGCAGATCTTGAGTTGCCCTAGAATACAGCAGAGAAAAGGAGGGAATTGAAGAAAACATTTTCATCACAAAGAAACTTTGCAATATAAAGGGCTCTTTAGTTATGTGGAAATTACACTTACGTGGTGACATGTTCCCAGAAAATGCTGGATAAAAGAAGTATTTTTGACTGTGATGATCCGCATAGGTTCGTACAGTCAGTTCAGATGACAGACGCACATGGGCTCATGTATAGTGTTAGCCGGTAGACGTCGGACAGCGTCAGGTGGGCGGAACAGTATTACACATTTAAAGGGACAGGGGGCCAGCTCTGGTGTTGCAGGAGGGTGCTGCTGGGCTCTGGCTGAGACCCCGTGGCGGCCTAGGTTCACCATCCCGCCCAACCTGAGCAGATGCTTTGAGACCAGGGACGCATGACGCAGCCTAGGCTCTCAGAAATGTTCTCCCTCCACTCACTTCCTCTCACGCACACACTTTTTGTCTCTCATGATAAAAAGAATAAAAAGGAGTTTATTCTGGCCTCGATAGGCAAAGACTGTGTTGCTTATCTCCAGGTGTTATAGCAGCAGTCAGCATTAAATCCAATCTTTAGGTCACACTGTTTTTAGTAAGTGTGGCAGGCTAAGTATGAATATATATTTTTTTTATTATGAGAGGTTTTTGCTATAGGGTGCGTGCGCTCGCCAGACAGAGACAGAAAGCGAGAAATCACCCCCCCCCCGGGGGGATGGCCACGCCGCAATCCCTTCTCCTCCATTCTCCTCTTGGGATCTTAGGCACGCATGCACATGCGCCCGGCGTGAGTTTAAGCCACCGGGTCTGGGATGCAAACCATGGTCGACTACATGGGAGTCCAGCGACATAACCATTACGCTAACTGCTGGTCCCCTAAGTATGAATTTTAAAGACAAGTATAAAACTTACTTAAATTGGATACAACGTTATTAAACAAAAGGCGTATTTGTGAAGGAGTCATGATTAAAAGTAGATGTAACATTTTACATAAATTTCCTTTCATGGGTTCTTGGGGTGACTGGAAGGCGTCTTGGGGGCATCCCGCTCACTGTCCCCCTGCCCTCGCTGTCCCCTAGGCCATAGAGAGCGCCATCGGCGGGAACGCTTACCAGCACAGCAAGGTGAACCAGTGGACCACCAACGTGGTGGAGCAGACCCTCAGCCAGCTCACCAAGCTGGGAAAGCCTTTTAAGTACATTGGTAATGGATTTGGGTTTCTCGCGTGTTTTGGTTGTGGTCTCAAAAACGGATCAGAACAGGGTCCAGTGCCAGAAGAGAGTGAGCATGGTGGTTTGGTGCCTGGCCGCCCGAGTCCCCAGCAGGAGCAGGCCACTTGTGTCGTGGACGCTCCCCTTGGCCTATGCTGCTGGTGCATTGTAGGGCATCCCACAGGGCTTCATGGGGTTTTGATCAGAGGCTTTTAGAACAAGGGGTAAAGGAAGGGAAGCACGTTTAGTCAGTCTAGAGGGACAAGGAATGCAACTAGCTGTTGATCTCTACCTGTGCTAAATGGCAGAGGCAACTGGTGTGGCTGCCAGCTTTCTCTAATAAGAGCTCGTTTGCATTGAAGTGACCTGTGTGATTATGCAGAAGAACGGGGCTGGACTGCACACGGCGAGTTCTTGCTTCTGGGACAGCTCCACTGACGGTATGACTGTCATCCATGCTTGTGAAGTCCTGTCGTGTGTGTTTTCCCCTGAAAGCTTTCCAGAACCTTCTCAGGCCTTGCCAAGATACATATTACTTAAGAGTGTTTTATGAGATGTGGGCTAGCTGTTTCATGTGTGTGCATGCCTGTTTATTAGTCATCCTTATTTGGGTACTTTGAAGGTCAGTGCTTGAGTGTGAGGGCGTGAGTGGCAAGTCCCCCCCGGCACCTCGTGGTCAGAGCTGACCTGTCCTCTCCCCGCAGGGAGCTGCACTGTGCGGTGGGAGAACAAGACCATGTACTGCATCGTCAGTGCCTTCGGACTGTCCATCTGAGCCTCCCCCTGCGCCCTCCCTCCTAGTCTCACACCTCTTCCTCCCCTCACGGCCATCCTGGACTCAGTGAACACCTTTCTCATCTCCTTTAAGTGTGTTTTGTGGCACTCTCAAAATGTAGAGAAAAAAGCAGATGGTGGCACTGTTACAGAAGCGTGTGTCCCCAGTCAGATGAGGGCGTCGCTGCAGGTAGTCAAGCCCGAGTTGCCACTTGTCTTAACTGGGTATTTCTTTTCAAAGGTGCTAAAACTACAGTCTGCTAGTGTGAAACTTCCTGCACTCTGAAATGATTCAAGTACACTCATTTTCCACACTTTATACTTTTGTTAGGATAATAAATTATTCAAGTGTAAAGTTTGTTGTGTTTTTCATAATCTTCAGAATCAACTCTTCCTGTTGATGGCTTCAGAATCTATAAAACATAACAAAGTCCAGCTCTGCTTTATCTTCTCCAGCAGTTTGCTGATTTCTTGCCTCAGGCCCAGGCCACACCACACCCAGGTCTGCTGGGTTCTGTCTGGTTCCCAGCTCCTCCTCCCTAAACTCCCTCCCCTCGAGTTGGGGGCCGAGGGGTGGAAGGTGGGCAGGCCCCTCCTGCTCTGTGGAAATGTTCCAGTGCATCCTTGCCTGGGCCACAGTCAGGACACCACAGTGATCATCCACATCCTCGTTCTTCCTGTGCCAGTTGCAATCTGTTTCAGTACTTCATGGCTTACGAAGTGCTTTCCCAATTATGTCTACACCTATGCAGTTATTTGAAAATCAGGGAATGTGTCTGGAGATGATATGATTTAGTCACATATCAAAATGAGTAGGGAGGCGGGCCCCACAGTCTGGCCTCTGTCTTCACCTCCATGCCTGTCCACAGACCAAGTTAGACCTGGTAATAAAGACACTACCATGTCTTCTTGTCGAGACAAACAAAACAAAAAAATAAAAATCCCTGCTTTTCTTAAAACACTCATCTAAAAGACTGAATTAATTCTACATGCCAAGAGCAAACAAGATACATGTAAGGAGTATTTAAAAATTTATTACCATTGACCGGAAAGGTAGTATCAGAAGGAAGCCATTCCCCAGACGTGAGTTTGCCAAAAACAAAGTCCCCTTTTCCCAGGTGGATCCAGCTACCACCCCAGCCAGTGGTGCTGTGCTCTGCCAGCAGCTTCCAAAGGCAAATAGTTCTCTCCTTTTGAGCCTAAAGTTTACTGTAGATTTACTTTACAAATATTTACAGTCTTTTGTAAAAAGGCAGTTTTCAGTAGTAGAAAGTCCTTCTGTTTCATAGCATGGTGTTGCAGTTACCAGTATATAGAAAACATCTGCTGGAGATAAACCGCAGGGCGCAGCAAGTAAGCGCTGTGTGGAAGGAGCCGGATCCCACATGGCCAGCTATGGTTCGAATCCCAGCCCTGGCAGCTCAAGCCAGGCGTATGTGTGTGTGCTTGTATGCCCAGGATCCTGATGGGGAGAAGGAGTGGGAGAAAGGGGATCACAGCACGCACACGGGCACTTTTTCTCATCCTCTGACACACGTCCATGCCTGCGGGCATTAGGAAAAGAGAAAACAGCATAACAAGATGTCGCAGACCACAGCTACTTCCCTTTGGCATGGGGAAAAGATCTGTATCCTTATAAAGAGGCAACTGGTTTCTAAACCGCTCAAAGTACACAAATACGCTTCAGTGTTTTAAGTCCAGTCTGTTCGGTGTTCTTAGGGACATCTCTTTCAATTATCCCAACTTTTATGAGTCTGTTTTCCTGTGAAAAGGATTCAGAAAATAGGTGAGCCCACTGTAACCTATTTGACCTAACCGTACCTTCAGCAAACAGTTCCTGAACTACTTGAAGCTGGTGACATTTTCAAATTATGTACAGTAGCAACTTAGAAACCTCGAGTTAGATTTTACATATCCTCTCTCAAGCCTCTCAGATGGGGCTCATGAGAGAAAACAGCACTTGGTCACTGCGGCGATGATTTAATAATAAATCAAGCAGACCTGTTATCCACACGGATAAGGAAGCTCTCCCTAGGGAAACCGTGAAATACTCCGGCCATCTTCCAGGTTGCCCTGGACCAGACCAGTAGGAAAAAATATCTGAAGATGATGTCATTCAAGCTATTACCATGAAAGAACTAAAATTGGCCCTTTGAATTTATAATTTAAGTTTAAAAAAACCTTTCCCTTGAAGAAAAAGAATTTTCTCACTACTGTCAAAAGTATCTGGCAGACTTTAGTGTTTTACCTTAATACCTATAGCACATACGCTACGTGGTAAACGTTCTATGCTCTAGCAAACGTTTCCATGGACAGTGAGGTATGTTGGTGCACATGACACACCAGGGAAGAGAAGTGGAAGCTGTATGATCTAGTAGCCGTACCCCTCAACTACTTCCCTTGTCGTTTTTTTTTTTGTTTCCAGCCTAGTTACAAAAGTAAATAAATAAGCCATGTTTTTCACTTCAGTGATGTCATTGAAAATCAATGTGTGAAGATACAGTTCTTAATTACACTATAGGACAAAGGCAAGTTTCAAAACGTTCTAATGTATGTGACCATTATTTTAGCCCCCAGATATTTTACATTTACTGATAAATAACAGCATTGCAAATCATGGACGATGATTTTATAACTATTAAAACTTGTAAACTCTATCACATATTAGAATACACTAATCAGCACAAACCATCAGTTTACATAAAATTATTTAGTAGTATCTGAAGTTGTAAAATTCGGTAACAGAAAAATTTTAACACCTCTGCACAGAATCAAAAAGTCATCATGTCATTGCAAATGTAAAAATTATGTAAACTTGAATTACCCTTCCAATAATACAGCTGTTTTAATGAAAACATTCATATTTACAAGGTTTTTAAACAACTGTAAGTGGGACCTGCAGTAAAGGTACATTATCGCTAGTTTAAATCAGATGTGAAGGGAAGCGAGCAGTGTCCATGGCGTGGATCCAGGAGCCCGTTGGCGCACAGGTGAAGAAATGCAGGTGTGGCCTGCAGAGTGGCACAGTGACCTCCAACGTGGCCCAGTCAGGACAACACTGACCGCGTAGCAACGGAGGTGCTACTGTGCATGTCTTACCTGGACTCTGACAAGGACTGAGGATCACCCCTGGGCCTGTGGGTGACACAGGTTCAGCTATGCCCAAGACGTTTCGTCCCACAGTAACTCACTGCTGTCCTGACCGCCACGTGGAACACGGGACAGCAATGGTTTCCAAGCAGGTCACCTTGCACTCAAAGATGTTGCTGCAAAAACCACTAAAATGTTTTTACTTTCTTTTCATCTAGTTTCCAAATGTGCAATTGACAAACTTTCTGGAGATAATCTATAATAGTATATCGTTCATTCATTTTGTTTTTATTAAAAAAATAAAGTTCTCTAAGGTGTCATATCCAAGAGAGCTGCAGAAACTACCAATCCCTGGGATGGGGGTGGTTGCCTCCTGCCGCCCCCGCCCAGGGAAGTCCATTCAGTCACATCCGTGCACACACACACATGCTGGGGCCAGTGGGCCTTTCCCCCAGGAGCTGGCAACTGGCAAGTGACCTCAGCCTGCCCTCATCCAATTTATCGACCCTCCTCAGGACTCCAGGACACTGTCATCTTTGCTTTAGTGACAGGGAGGGGCTGAAGCCAGCATCCACCATTTTCCTAATGAGTCCGGATTCACACGATTCACAAAATGCAGCTGGTGTGAGCTACCGCCATGGCAGGCTGCGTCCCCCCGGCACTGGCCACTGCACAGGCAGGCCAGCCTGGGAGTGGGAAGGGACAAGAACACGGTACCACGGTGGATAAAGGCAGGCAGAAAAGCAACACCGCCGCATGTGGGCCTCAGCCCTGAGGGCTTCTGGGACCTGGAGCTGGAGTCACTCAGGGAAAACTAAGCACGTAATTAATTCTCCTAAAAATGGGTAATTTCTTTCTCACCATAGAAAAAGGTGCTCTCTCACTGGAACTCTATGAAAAGAACCTAGTGTTTAAATGTTAACAGAGTCTCTCTTACCAGACAGACTTAACCACCTTGGCAATAAATTGGGCCCAGCATTTAAATTTATCCTCGATTTTTGCTCTTTTTAAAAATATGTAAACAAATGAGGAACATGAAATCTTTGCTTCTGAGAAAGTGAACCAAGTGGGTTTAGGCGGAGGCCAGGAACCGGCCACGAGGGACGCCAGGCTCCGTGCGTGCGCAGCTGCCGGGGGCTCAGTCGCTGTCCGACTCCTCCTTGTACTTGGCCCGGATGGCCTGGCCGTTCTGCAGAGGCATTTCCTCATAGTCGCTCCTATTTCCAAAGAGACCTTTGATACCATTCAGCTCGACAGCTCCTCATGTAGCCTTTCACACCAGCGCGCCCTTCTGCAAGGACTCACTGCACAGCCTCACTCTCAGTTCCCCGCCAACTGGCAGTGCCTACCCAACCCAACTCCCAGCAGAGCCCATCGGTCCTGAAAGTGCTGTTCTGGTCACCACCCACTGCAGACTCTGAGCAAAAGAAAACTACCACAGTGAAGCCCAAATTAGGCCTGGACAGAGACCCAGGCACTCCCTAGATGTTCCCGGGTAAATGATCCAAAGCTTAAAAACTAATTCAGAAGAACCCATCCCAAACGCCAGGCGGATGCCCATGGCGAGGCAGCCTTCAAGAGATGCGGTGCTCACCCGTAAATCACGTCGTCGTCCGAGTCGTTCAGCATGGAAAATGCAGGGTTGTCTTTCAGCTGGGACTCTGCAAGGCAACGAGAGCACTTCTATCTCAAGCAGTTCAGCATGAGCCTAGAGGGGCCCAGTGCTGTCCTGGGAGAAGCCTGCTGCCAGAGATGAAGAACGTGGATTCGAATCCGGATTCTGCCATCCCAGTCTGCAAGCCCGGACAGCACAGCTCAAGGAGCTGTCCCTTGTGTGCTTGAGCTGCCGGGCAGGCTGCTGGGAAGTGGGTGAGAGCCTGCAAGGAGGGTGGGCGAACGAGGGCAGCCCGCCTGCTGACCCCCTGCCCCTCCTACCAAGGTCGCCCGGGGTGGGAGTCATGCCTGCTGGGCCTGCCCCCTCCAGTCCTCAGCTGCAGCAGCCCCTTCCAAGGTCCTTGCTCTGAATGGGGGAGGGGACTACGCTACCCTGTGGTTGCTGCGACGCTCAGGTGGGGCCCTGTCTGCGAGGGGTCTGAAAGTGGAAAATGGCAGGTGCGACCCCATCCCAGACCTTTCATCCTTTCACTCCTCATGTGAGAGGCTAGTTGGGTTCTGTTTTGGGGATTTTTTAGGTACACTCTGGCTTGCTGGTGGACTGTATGCGGCAGGCTTTACGGCATTTGGCTGATGGTCATACCACATGTGCCAGGAACCGCTAACAGGAAACTCCTGTCAGGGCTGTGGAGACCTCACACGGTTCAGGGTCACTTGTGTTCTAAGCAACACGCAGAGCCTCCCATTAACTCACCTTGTCTGCCACGAGAGAGTACCGAGACTCATGACGCTCAGTGATAACGGAGATCCCAGTAAATGTGTCGGGACTGACCCAGCTGTCTGCCCTATCAGGCGGAGACCCAGACCCCAGGTGACTTACCGTACAGAGCATTCTTCGATGGAGAATACACGAAGGCCAGCGTGTAGAGATAGAAGTTCAACAAGCCGTAGAACGACAGGAATTCAGCTGGTGCCGCCAGTCAAGGGAGAGACACGTGTCTAGACAGCTCAGCTGGTGCCTCTGCTCCGGCCCGGCCGCCCTCGCCATGAGCACCTCGTCCTGACCAATGGCCCCGGCTACACTGGATGTCAGGACGCGAGTCAGGGACACATCTATTGCCAGATATCAAATAACCCTTAGGGGGCACGCCACTTCTGGGCCCAAGGGCAAGATCTGCTGGGCATGAAAGGGCAGGAGGGCCCTGGGCACACAAAGCCCCGTGGACTCAGGCCTCTGCACACACTGAGGAAACAAATGGGAAACAAGCTGTCCAATCAGGCGTTCTTAACCTCTTCTGGTTACAGACTCCTCTGAGAGTCTAACGAAAGCTTGCCATGAAATCTGGCCCCAATGAGGGAAAAATTATGCATGAATTCTAGGGATTTAACAGGTTCACAGCAAGAACCCAGGACTGAGGGCATACCTTCTACGTGTCCCCAGCATCCAGGGAGCAGGGAAGCACATGCTTCCTACCCGACATCAGGAGAGGCAGGGCCCCCCGGGGCTTCAACCCTGCTCCCCTGCTCTGCGGGCACCGGGACTCTGAGGCAGTCCAGTACTTTACGAGCCCTGCTCTGAAGACACAGGCTCAACCTGCCGTAACTCAGGGGCCCGGGGAGACCACATCGGACACATCTGGGTACCAGTAGGAGAGATGCTCAGAGAGAAGATGCTCCCATCAGCCCTTGGGCCGCTCCTCAGCGCTCTGCTGGGGACAGGGCAGCTCTCAACCCACTGTGACTGGGACTGTCCTGCCCTTCCCAGCCCCCTCCTCAGGGCAGGGGCACTGTGTGCTGGGAGGGGGGCTCCAGATCTAGGAGACGGGTCCGGGGAGGCCTCAGAGAGCGACTCACAAGCTGCGGTTGCCAACCACTGTGTGCAGAAGGCGTCCCAGAGCCTGAGGACTCCCATCCAGCTAAAGGATATAATTCTGGTAGTGAGTTGACAGCTCGGCCACAAAGTTGTCCTGTAAAACTTGTGCTCCAAACCGTAAGTAAAGGATGGCGATGCTGAAACATGGGGAAGGAGGCGCCGTGTCAAGACGGGAGGAGAAAAGGCGCCGGCCCCGAGCACTTGGTTACAGTCACCCTGTCATGCCTCTGGGCCAGTCACTGTTATTTCTGCCAGGAATCTTCTACACACACGCACACGCATGCACATGTGTACGCATGCCCTGCTGCCAGCCAAGTCCCCTGGAACTCCACAAACACAATCACAAAAGCATAACAACTTCAAAGGCAGACCACACAGAGGTTCCCCGCGGACAGGTGCCTCCAGCCGGCGGACTTGGCAGCTCAAGGGTGAGGCACACGTGTGTGTGGGTGTGAGGACGAGAACTGCCTGTCAGCGTGCGAGCATTCAGGTAGGCGCTCAGTACACCTGTGCACTATGACTCCCATGCGAGTTCGGATGCCGAGTGAAGTTCGATTCACTTAGAAGCCCAGGCTGAGTTCATAGCATGTGGTTGGTGAATGGACTCGGAGGGTTAGAGGAGTCCTCACCCTCAGCAAGGCCGGGACTCCAGGGCCAGGGTGGAGAGCCTGGCCCAGGCCCGGACACCCAGGGGCCCCACGGGGCTCGCAACAGCCACACAACCAGAAAAGAAATGCAGGTAACTAGACTTGCCCCACTCTGAATTTTGACCTTAGGAGAAGAGACAAATCATAAACAACCAATTACCTGGAATTTCAAAGACCCCTGTGAAGTCTGGGCTTTCTCAGGCCCAGCCCACCTGCCCGGAGGGGACCCAGGCACGGCAGGCCTCCCACCGCCCCTGGGCCCACTGCTCAGCGACACCCGCTGTGTTCACTCACCCTGAGCTCTCAGCTTGGAACATCGAAGCAGCCCAAAGGCCTATGTGCCCTCACATCTTCTGTAACTGTGCCCCCCACACGCAGAGAACCTCAGCGGTGCGGATGAGCAGCTAAACATGCTTTCCCTGACTCTTTTAAAGAGAGCAAGTGCGCACCCTCGCGGGAAGGAGGGAAGCGGCAGGTATCTGATCAGGTCTTACCACACTGCAATCCTGCCTCAGCACCCAGTCAGCAAGGACCACAGGCCACCACACCCAGGCCAGGAACCCAGCCCAGGTCACCCACGTGGCCCCGGCCGCCACCCAGAGGGCCATCCAGCTGTGCCGTGGGGTGGGGGGAGCATAATCGCCCACCTTCGTTCCTTGGACGTTACAACGCGAATGCGAGCTCTCGGGGCTGGCAACACACTTCGTGCCTGCCCTTGGTAAGAGCCCCCCACCTAGCAGCCGAAGTACCCTGAGATCAATTCCACAGGACAGAACAGACACTGATGCTTACGGAAGTAAACACGGAAAGGGAGTTTCTCACCTAATGACAAGCACTACAAAGGTCAGGGCAGTCAGAAACTTCAGCCGGAGATCTGAAAGACAAAGCTCTTGGTACACAGACGTGGACATGGAAGTCGGGGCCACGCTCATCGCAGAGGCCTGAAACTACAGCACTGACCCCTCCTGTCTGCAGCCGGCCGGGTGGCCATTCTGGCGGGGAGGATCCCGTGAGACCAGTGGGGCAGACCCTGACTGAGGACTAAGAAACAGCCCGGGGATCCTGTACCAGGTGCCACCCCGCAACTGACCCTCTGACAGCACCAGGGTCCCTGGCTCTGTCTGAAGGCCTCCCTCCTCATGGCCAGCAAGGTCTGTTCAGTCCCGTTCTGACCCCCAGGGACCAAAGGTGCTGGCCCCACTCGTGATGGACAAGTCCCAGGGCTCTCTGGGGTGAGGTCACCCGAAGGGACCTCCAGCCACTCCTGGCCATCAGCCACCCTCCGTGGTGCCCCAGAGCCGCTTACCCACGTAAGGCATGTGGCGTAGCTCAGAGCAGGCCCGCACGATCAGGAACAGCAGGTACAGGACATACACGGCCGCCACCACCATGAAGAAAATCTTCATTCCCTGGGGACCAGACAGCGCTGAGGTGTGGCCGAGTCTCCGCCTCTGATACCGGCACTGTAGCAGGAAAGCCTAGCACCCGCCAGGGGCTCCACCCCAAAGGGCACCCAGGAGCGGCAAGAACAGGCTCCCATTCTCTGCCCCCTCGCCCCCCTCCGGGAACCCAAGCTCCTCCCATTACAGGACGCTCCAGGCCCAGGGCCTGGACATGGCAGGTGCTTAGGAAATGGTGGTGGGCCTGTCTGTCCCCATCTGAGTATAGGCCTGACCCCCATCCCAGCGTATGAGGACGGCAGCTCCTGGCAAAGACAAGACCCAGAGCCAGCGATTAAGGCACCCCACACGGCCGACTGTGTGGCTCGAGTCCCAGACCCAGCAGCCTGAAAATCACGCCAGGTGCGTGTGTGCGCATACCCAGAATCCCAAGAGGAGGATGGAGGAGGAGGACTGTGGCATGGCCATTCCCCCAGGAGGTGCTTTCTCACTACCCCCCCCCCCGCCTCCTCGGGAGTGCATGCGCCCTATAGTAAATTTAAAACAGGAAGGAAAGGAAGGAGGGAAGGATGCGGGGAGGGAAGGAAAAAAAGACCCGGGGCTGGACCTGAGGAGCCTTGAGTAAGCTCAGCTTTCTGGACTGCAGTTCCCTGTCTGTGAAGTGAGGGGCTGATGCTCAGGAACACGCTGGGTCTACAAGGGCACGATTCTATTGTTTTGTTCACAGAAACAAAACCTTGCCCTCTGAAGACAGCTTGGTGGCTCTGATGAGGGTCAGGCTCCAGGGAGGACAACACCCCTTCGCCTGCAGAGCCTGCCCCTCGGAGGAGGCTCCATCCACCCTGCCTGCCCATCCCTGTGCTCTCGGTGCCGGACTCTCCGTCTGGCGGCCAAGGCAGGGCACCGGGCTGCATGGCAGGACCTGGGGCTCTTTCTGCCTCAAAGAACCTGCGTGCCTCAGCTTGGCCCGTGTCCCCACAGGCCTGTCTCTCGTGTCCCCTCACTGGTAGCCACAGACCCCTTGGTCTGTTCCTGGGCCCTCGTGACTACTGCCCGACCACCTGCCTGGGAATAGGGGACAGAAGGGAACGACAGTGATGCGCCCTGGATCCGCCCTGTGCTGCCGCCGGGTCACCACAACAAACACGGGGGGGTGGGGGTGGTGAAAACACCCTCACTTCCCCGCACTTCCTACCCTTGAGCTATCTTTTTTTAAAAAAGAATTATTTCATTTTATTTGGTATTATTATCATTATTATTATTACTATTATTTTAATTTGACCAGAGAGAGAAAAGAAAGTGAAAAAGCAAGCTTCCAGGTTCGGGACTCAAACTGCAGTCGGCCCCGTGGGAGTCCAGCACCCCAACCACTGTGCCACCTGCCAGCCCAGCAGCCATTAACAAGACCGTGCCAACAACACGTGGAAGTTACAAAATTCAGTCACTTCATAAAACAGGGTTAAAAGAAAATTCTTACCTGAAAATTTCCAGTGTCAACTCGATACTGGTACATTGGATCATGTAATTCGTTAACTCTAAAATAACAACATAATAAAAAAAACTCTAGATTAAGAATTAGCTTCCTTTTTTTTTTTTTTTTTTTGCTAGAGTGTGCACCCCTCCCTCCTTTCAGGATGTTGTTCACACATGTGCACACGTGCCTCGTGTGTTTAGGTGCCAGGCCCAAGATTTGAACTGCAGTCGGCCATGTGGGACCCAGCCACCGTAACCACCATAACCACCAGCTGGCCCACTAGCTTTACTTTCTACCTTACATTTGGTCTCATTTGACTCTTTTTTTTTTTTTTTTTTAAAGGTTTTTGCTTTAGCCTGTATGTGTTCACTGACTGGGGGAGAGAGAGAGAGACAGAGGCAGAGACAGTGAAGAGGGAAAGTGAGAAATCATGCCCCAGGGGTGATGGCCACACTGCAATCCCTTTTTCTCTATTCTTCTCCTGGGACCCTGGACATGCACACACATGTGCCTGGCATGAGTTTCAAACCACTGGGTCTGGGACTCTAACCAAGGTCGGCCATGTAGGAGTCCAGCAACATAATCACTGTGGCATCTCCCGGCCTGTTTTCTAATCTAGTAACATAAACTACGCTATCGACAAGAGTGAAAGATTTTTTAAAAGCAATCCTCAAGTTGGGAGCAATCCTCAATTTCCTATTTCTCGTTGACAAAGTCCGCAATCCGACTGATTTCCGCCTTGGTAGTATTGCCACGCTGCAGCACTGTCTGCTCCAAACCCCTATTTCTCTGGTAATTTTTGGAGCTGTTTTCCAGGCAGCTTTTTCAAGGCACCTATGGGTGCAGTGAGATGGGTGAGCACACATAAGCAGCAGCACATACTTCATTGAGATGAATTTCCAAAATGAAAAATGGGGCCTCAGATGACAGGGAAGCAGGGAAGGAGACTGGAGAAGGGGGAGCCAGGGCCCACGGTCAGGCAGGACCTCAGCCAGGTTCCCAAACCACTGCCCGGAACGACTCCAAGGGCACCGTAGCCAGTACGTCGGGCTATTCCTACACGGGCTCCCACTGTGCTGCCATCTCACCGAGACCGTGGGAGCTAGCGAGGGACGGGGAGGCTTGCAGGTGCACGCAAAGGGGAGCAGAAACAGCTGGTGGACGGAGAGGCTGGGCCAACCACACTCCCCAAGGGAACTCTAAAAGAACTATCTTCTTCATTTTCTCCCTCTGACTAGTAGAACCATGTATTATTTACAAGCCAGAAATGAAACCCTGGCTCTGAGCCACAGGACCGAGCCTGAAGTGTGGGGAGACGGGTCCTCTCCGGATGAGCTGGGAGGACACGGCACGGCTCTCAGCCTGTCCGCCTGGGCCAGCACCTCTCAGGACTGCAGCTTCCCAGAGAACACAAGTACTCACGTTTGCCAGATCCCCAGGGTAACAGAAGCCAGCCACAACAGTCCAACAATGAAGAATTTAGGAAAATAGAAAGTTAAGCACTTTCTTTCTCCCTAAAAAACAAAAATAAAAATTTAAAAAGGTAACAAATTTTAAAAACTCAGTTATTCTGGCAAACATTAACCCCTGTCAGATTATACTATTAGGTCGTTGGGAAAATCATGACATTTTTTCCTACGTTCTTCTCTGTAAAAGTGTGTCACGACTCTCCCGATGGCCCAGTATTAACAGACCACAGCCACCAGGTGGTTTCGAGGTGACCACCGCTGCTCTGTTGAGTATGAGGCTGGAGGCCGGTTTCAGTGGGTGAATGCATCTCTGAGGACTGCCACCAGAGGGCAGGAGGCAGACTGAGCTTCAAGCTCCTCTGAGGCCAAGGCCGAGCTTACCTGAACCCGGATCCCATGGTACACGCACAGCCAGAAGAGCAGCAGAGCACACAGGAACACGGACTGGGAGAGGTCATCCAGCATTCCGGGGAACCAGCTGTTCACCAGGAAGGAGAGCGGGAAGAAGGGGTCTGGAAAGCAGGAGAACATGACGGAAATGGGGCCACGTCCCTGCAGACCATCCACCTCGGAGGGAACCCACCGCCCGCTTCGCCCTGGCTGGGGGCAGGCAACTGGGAGGGGAGTGCACAAAGGCTAAAGTTTGTGTTTCCAAACTCCTGGAGGCCAAGAAGCTGGTGCTCCGGAGGTCGCGGAGGGCCACTTGCACCTGCCATCCGCTCTCCCAAGGCCGGGACCAAGCACTGCGCTGCACCTCGCCGGGGGAGCCAGGCCTTCCAGGACAGGCCGAGGAGCAGCCAGCACTGCCAGGCGGGACTGCTGAGCCTGCAGCCGACCAAGTTATAACGACCAAAGCGGGGGGCCTGTTAGTTCGTGGCTGGGCACCCACCGCTGCCTGGAGGAATGGCTGACTAGGAGCGGCTGGCTTCCACGTGTGCCTCCTCGGGGCCTTCTGTGGGCTCTCCGGGAGACTCTGGAGCTTCTGGCTTTAAGGGGGGACGCTCTGAAGTGGAAATAGCACCTACCGTTGTACAGCAGCAGCAGCGGCAGGAGGACCGACATCCACTTCTGCTCGATGCCCCAGTCCCGCATGGAGAACTTCCGCAGGGAGTGAGCGAACAGGCACTGAGACGGAAGGGCCTCGTTACTGTCTGCCCCACCCTGCTCGCCCAGCAGGTTAGCCTGGCGGTCTGGGTGCCCAGCCAAGATCTGCAGGGCTGCCCGGGGTCAGTGGATTTCTGCGGGCTCGAGGCCACCAGCCACCTCCAAGATAAGCATTAGGAAGGCCGCAGGTAGGATAGTCACCAGCTGGACTCAGAGGGCCGAGGGGGAAGGGGACGGCGGCACCATGAATCCACCTCTCACCAGGCAGGAGGCCCTTCCCAGACATCTGGCCTGCAGACACACCAGGGAAACAGGCCACACCCAGGGGCCCGCGAGCAAGTCGCACACTCCCACAGTACACTGAGATGGCACCGGCTACTGCAGAGGGAGCCAGGGCTCCCCACAGAGAGCTGGGCGAACGAGACTCACGACCACGGTCAGAGGACACGCTCATCCTCCAGCATGCCCCAGGGAAGGCGTGGGGCCCAGGGAGATGTGTCCTTAACGTGCTTTAAAACAGGACACGACTTGTGGCTTTAAGGCCTGGAGCTATCGTTTGCTTTCCTATAATCTGACATTAGCTAACAATGTTTAGGGCCATCTGGATGCCCTGGCCTGTGGCCATTCCCCAGTCCACGTCACCAGATAAGCCTCAGGCCACTTCCTTTCTCTGAAAACACACAGGGAATTTGGAGCACCAGCTCTCTGGGCCCAGGGAAGCAGAATCCCAGGCACCAGGGAGCAAGGTTTCCAAGGCAGGCCAGCCGGTGGCGTGGTGGTTAAGGCGGTCGGACCCTGCATGGCACACTGCATGCTCTAAGTGTAGACCCAGAAGCTGGAAAACATGCCGGGTGTATGTGAGTGTGTGTGTATGCAGAGAGGAAAATGAAGGAGGGGGGAGTGTGGTGTGGCCACCTCCTGGGGAGGTGCTTCCTCCCTTCCTCCGTCTCTCTGGTGAGTGCACATGTCCTATAGCAAATTAAAAAAGAATTTCTGATGGACCAGACAGAAAAGCCAGCTTTCCCTCTTCACTGATGAAGCCACTAGGGGGAGCCTGGGATCCCTGAGGCCCTGGCTTGGCTGAGCGCGGGAACCTCCGTGCCCCTGGACCCCAGGTCCCATGCCCTGCCCGCCAGCTGCGCGCACAGCCGCTATGTGTACATCGTTCGCCTGCCAAGTACCCAGTGTTCTTTGGGCAGCAAGAGGAGCCACCACTGCAGAGAGGACGCAGCTGATGGGGACGGGAGGCCACCTGGCAGACAGCGAGGAGACGCTGAGTGAACACACGGCCTCATGCCCGATGCATGACACATTCTCGCTCTCAGCCCGGGTCCCTTGGGGCTCCGGTGTGCTTCTATGGGTGGTAATTTCCCCTCAAAATTACCGTGCGCACGTGGACACAGACCTCAGACCCCAAATAAGCCAAAGCCTGCATTTCCAAAACCATTTTCTTGGTCCATATTCCTGAAAAAGCCTGAAGACTGAAAAGCCCAGAACAATTTTTCAAATACAAAACCCCAAGACTGTGTGGTATCTGCACCAGGCCATGCCAGCAGGCAGAGTCCCTCCCGCAGGGTAACCCGCCCGCCCACTGTGCAGTGAGGGAAAGCGCCTCCCAGTCCGCAGTCGCAGTCGTCCTCGCTACCTGACCCCAGATGGGCCTTTCTGTGCCACAGCCTCCGCTCGGCAAGGCCGGCTGCCTACTAGCTGGAGTGTCTGGAGCCCAGACACCCAGGCAGCTTGCCCTGGGACAGTCCTGACCACGTAAACCAGCTCCATCCTGGCTAGGTCTGCCAGTCTGCCAGGAGGATGGCACTCACAGTGACGATGAAGGTGAGCACCACGAAGACAAATCGGAACCAGATTTCCAACTGGGAAAATGCAGGATTGTAAGTCTTCCACTGAAATGGGAAGTGGGAAAACCATTTGAGAAAAATCTATGTCTGAATCTATAAGAAGAAACACACCAGCTTACTAACACTGGCTACCCCGAGATGAGAGACTACAGGCAGTTTAAAGTATCCTTCTGGACCAGCCTGTAGCCTGGTGGTTAAGGGATGTGGATCCCACATGACCAACTGCAGTTCAAATCCCAGCCCCAGCAGCTTGAAAAATACATGAGGTGTGTATGTGTTTTACCCCAAATCCCAGCAGGATGGAGAAGCAGAGAAGAAGGAATTCTGGCATGACCATACTCTGTCGAGGGCTGCTTTCTCCTCTGTCTCTCTCTAGCAAGCATACATGTCCTCTGGAAATTAAAATTTAAAAGCTCCTCTTTCTTAGACTTTTCTACATGTCTTAAAACCTTAACACTTAATATATTTTACTATTATGTTAAAGAACACAGATGTAAAAAATATTAATTACCGAGAGCTGAAAATAGTTTTAGATAGCTTATTTTAGTTTATATTAGTGGTAAACCTGGCAGATTAGTTACTCTATAATCATAATAAGATTTGGATTTTTTAGAAGGTATTTTTCTTCAATTGCCAGAGTTGCATGAGAAAGCAAGAGAACGGGCTATGACACCTGCCACGGGGGTGTGGCCACACCGCAACCCCTCCTGCTCACTTCTCCACCCCATCGTGATTTGGGGCATGCACACACGTCCTTCATATTTCTCAAGCCACAGAATCCATGGTTTGAGCCAGGGTCAGCTGTGTGGGATCTGGCCCACAATGCATAGCACGTAAGTGCTGTGTTACAGAGCTGGCCTACATCATCGGGGTTTCAAACTTAATATAAAAAATCAACCTTGTCGGGACCAGCAGTTAGCGTAATGGCTATGTCGCTGGACTCCCACGTAGTCGACCGTGGTTTGAGTCCCGGACCCGGTGGCTTAAACTCACGCCGGGCGCGTGTGTGTGCGTGCCCAAGATCCCGAGAGGAGAATGGAGGAGAAGGGATTGCAGCGTGGCCATCCCCCCTGGAGGGGTGATTTCCTGCTTTCTGTTTCTCTGTCTGTCTCTGTCTGTCTGGCGAGCGCACGCGCCCTATAGCAAAAACCTCTCAAAAAAAAAAAAAAAAAATCAACCTTGTCAGGCCAGCAGGTGGCACAGTGGTTAAGGTGGCTGGATCCCACATGGCTGACTGCATGGTTCAAGTCCCAGACTCGGTGGCTTGAAAAAACACACCGAGTGCATGTGCATGTATGCCCAAAATCCCAAGAGGAGAGAGGAAGAGAAGGGATTACAACATGGCTAACCCCCCACCCCCGATTTCTCACTTTCCTTCTCTTCTGCTTTCTCTCTGTCTCTGTCTCTCAGGTAAGCACATGTGCCCTTTGGCAAACATTATTTTTTAAAAATGACCTTGTCAATCTCTTTATTAGAAAAGCAACACTTTCTATTAGAATAAAATTTTAAAAGTTTTCTTAGGTTTACTTATTTTTTTCAGTAAGGCAGGGGGCAGAGAGAGAGAACGATCCACGATAGGGTCTTCACACCATGACCCCCCCCTCCCCCGCCCTGGCCTGTCTGGGTCACAGGCACGTGTGCACCTGGCGTGCACAGGGAGGGCCTGGGACATGCACTGGGGTTCCCAGGTAGCTCCACGCGTGGTACTACTGCAGCCCCACCTGCCCCAAAAGCCAGACTTTAAAAAAGTCATTTTTCAATATGAGCACAGCGTTCTAAAAAAGTGTAAGTAAAACATGTAAATATGAGTCTGAAACAAGAAAAGTAAACTGCAGTTAACACGGTCAGTCCTCATGCTGACCAGCTCACACCTGCCCACATGGCCTCATGGAACCAAGGCTACACACGCACCTGCTGCCAGAGGGTGGAAGGTGTGGCTGGAGGCCCCTCGGCCTGAGCCAGACGCAACCCAACCTCAGAACGCAGCCCCGAGGGCCAAGCACTAGCCTCACTGTAATGCACTGAACTAAGATCTGAGCCTTTTTCTTAAGAGAGATTTTTGCTATAGGGCGCGTGTACTTACTAGAGAGGGAAAGACAGACAGGAAGAGACAGGAAGCAAGAAATCTGCCCCTCCCCCCACTGGGGTAATGGCCACGCCGCAATCCCTTCTCCTCCATTCTCCTCTCAGGATCTTGGGCACGCATGCACACATGCTCGATGTGAGTTTTAAGCCACAGGGTCTGGGACTTGAAACACGGTTGTCTACATGGGAGTCCAGCGACATAACTATTTCAAGCCTTCTGCTGGTCCTAAGATCTGAGCCATTTTAAAAATTTGCTTCCGAACATACACGGTTACAGTCACTAGATCTACCTAAAACACACATACACAGTACAGTCACTCGATCTACCTAAAACACACACACACAGTACAGTCACTCGATCTACTTAAAATACACACACACAGTACAGTCACTAGATCTACCTAAAACACACACACACACACACACACACACAGTTACAGCCACTCGATCTATCTAAAACACACACAAACACACACACACACAGACAGAATGGTTAAGACACCGGATCGAGGAGGCAACCAAGGGCAATGGCCTCTGTTAGGAAGTGGGGTGGGGTGGCTGCCCCAGGCACCCAGTGGTTTCCCCAGGTTGTGACACACAGTTGGGAGGTCAGGAAGACAGAGGTGGCTCGATCATAGGACAGAGTGTGGACAGGAGAGCTGTTTAGGGAGCACCCCAGCATCTGCCGAGGTCACCCCCCGTGTTTCACTTGAGGGCAGACCAGCACCCAAATATGAGTGATCTACCCAGGGCTGAAGAAAGAACCTCCCAGGGGCCAGCAACCAGCAGCCACAGGGTCAGGTCATGGTGCCTGTTCCTGCAGACAAGAAAATCACAAAGGGCAGCAGGGACCAAATGCCCAGTGCTTTGCTTCAGTGGTGGGCAAACACGAACCTAAAGCTGTTTTGGTCTCACCCCACAAAGTTTAAAAGCAAGGCCTGGGGCCAGCAGATGGGGCGGGGTTAAGGTGCTGGACTCTCACATGGCGGGAATCATGACTTGAACACTGTGGTTCAAGTCCCAGGCCTGGAGGCTTGCTTTCTCATTTTCTTTATCTCTCTCTGTGTCTCTCTGTGGTGAATTAAAATAATAAGTAAATCATTGGGTTTTCTTTGTTTGTTGTTTTTTTTGTTGTTTTTTGTTTGTTTGTTTTTACAAAAAGCAAGGGGCTGAGAGGTGAGAGGTCAAACTCCTTTCAAGTAATATAAAACATCCCAGGATAAAGCTTAAAAATACGAGAAGACCAATAAGTAAGTAAATCATCGGGTTTTCTTTGTTTGTTGTTTTTTTTTGTTGTTTTTTGTTTGTTTGTTTTTACAAAAAGCAAGGGGCTGAGAGGTGAGAGGTCAAACTCCTTTCAAGTAATATAAAACATCCCAGGATAAAGCTTAAAAATACGAGAAGACCAACTTAGTGATCAATAATGTTGGTATTGAATCAAAAAGTACCATGCATGCAAAGAAGCAAGAAAACATAAAGCATTCTGATGAACAGACTGACCAATCAGAACCGGCCCGGAAATCAGATGACAGAATTAGTATGAGTAGGACATCAAGAAGCTAAGTCAAAGACTTCCTGTGTTAACTAGAGGCTTGGAAGATGATCACCAGCAGATTAGATACTACAGTGATTAGGAAGTTCAAGACACAACAATAGAAACGAACTAAAATGGAACAGGGGAAAATGAGCAGGGCGCCAGCAAGCTGGGAGGCCCCGAGGGGCCGAGTAAACATGGATTTTCAGTCTAAGAATATGGAGGGAGGGGGCCTCAGGGAGGACATACGCTCCCTCCTCCTTCCCTCTCTCTCTCTCTCTCTCTCCCCCCCCCTCTTCTTTGCTGCAGGGTGGACGTGCTCATCAGAGAGAGACAAACACAAAGAGAGAAAGTGAGAAATCACTTCCGGGGGGGTGGCCACACCACAATCCTTCTTCTTCATTTTCCTCTCATGCTTTTGGGCATGCAGGCATACACACCAGGTGTGATTTCCAAGCCACCAGGTCCAGGACTCAAACCACACGGTTAGCTACTTGAACCAGCGCTTTAACCTCCATGGCACCTACTGGCCCCTCTTTCTTTCTTCTGATGGGGGCACCCCCATGCCATGATCTCGGCCAGCCAGGATTAAGGGCACGTCTCTCAGGGTGCACAAGGAGACCCAGGGATGCAAACCCAGGACCTTGTCACTGGCTGCAGCATGGTGAAGCACTGTGTTACCACTGTGCCACCCCAGCTGGCCTGCATTTATTTTTAAACTCAAAATATATTTTTGAAATTAAAAAACAGAGTAAGAGGAGATAAAGTAAAGTCTCCAGAGGACACGCTGGCTTCGGCCGTTCCTGTGAAATCTTAGCACAAAGCCGGCTTTGTCCTTTCAGAGACTAGCTCGCCCCGTGGGAACAGCGCTCCCTGCACGCCCCAGGCTGCTCCTCCCCAGTGAGGACCCGCGGGCTGCGGGCCAGTTGGCACAACCAGCCTTTCAACACCTGGACTATGCGCGAGCAGAGACCAGGTCACTCCTGCGAGGCATGAACTGGCCAACTGGAGCAAAATACCCCGGTCCAGGTGCCGCCAGTGCTGGCTCCTTCTCTGACAGAGAGCCAACATTTCCTCGGGACTTCAGACAGTCCCCGAGGGGAAAGCCATGGGCATGCAGGGGTGGGGACGCAAGGGGGACCGCCATTTAGACCGGGCCACACGGTGACTCAGGCAGCACCAGAGTTCCTGGGATGGGAGCCCCCAGCTTCACAGCTTGGGCCACCAAGACTCAAAGCTGCATAAGAGACACCACACCCACCTGGTGTGGCAGCACACGTGGGACACGCCTGCTCGGCAGGCGGAGGCCACATGGGAGCCCAGGTTTGATTCCCGGCCCATCCTAAAAGGTTCACATTGTAATCATAGCTACTCAGGAGGCTGAGGCAGGAGCACATTGTAATCACAGCTACTCAGGAGGCTGAGGCAGGAGAATCACGACGGGGTGAGGCCCTGTCTAAAAAATAACACACGTGTGTGCACACGCTCAAAGACACTGCTCAGAAATACCTGGGAGGAAAGCGAGAACATTGCTCTGCGTGTGTCTAAGAAGTCAGCAGCAGGTATCCAGTGGGGCCTGCTGCCCCTCTGGCCTCTGGGAAGCCAGCCCAGAGGGCGTCCACAGGATTAGAACGGAAGGACCCGGAACACAGTGGTTGTTTTAACCTCAGCTCCAGGCATAGGTCATGGCTTAGAAAGAAAGAGGAGGAAATGGCCGTGAACAGCTGGCTGCGGAGTGTCACTCAAGATCAAGGGGAAGAGACTTCGTTAGAGGGAAGGGCTGCCAGGTTAGCCGTAAGGGCACAGAGGGCGACAGGGCGACGCGGACAGAGAAGTGCCTGTAACAGCTCAGGGGACCATGGCAGGAAGATGCACGGGCACGGTGTGAGGAGTCTGCGCCGGGCTGCACACGCAGGGCAGGTCATGCTGGCGACACCAGCTGCCAGCAACGCAGCCAGGGACCAGGCGGGGCCGTCAGTGTGGACACGATTCCTTTGGGAAGGGGGCCACCACATGCTATGTCTGAAGGGGTCACTCCAATCCCCCCTCAAATGACTCCCTGCAGTGGTGTTAGCAGGGCCCTGGGGTTTGTAAGGCTCTGCCCTCATGAACGAGGGCTGGGACAGCTAGCTCAGGCCCGTCCTGCACTTCATCCCCGCGCCTGTGGTGCAGTTTGTCCCCTGCAGGAGATGTAGCCCGGGCGTCATCTCAGAAGCAGAAGAGAGCCCTCGCCACAGCAAGCCTGCCTGCACCTTGGTCTCGGACTTCCAGCCCCAGAACTGTGAGAGACATTTCTGTTACTTGTAAATCACCCGTCTGTGGTCGGTGACTGTAATCACAGCAGCATAATACACCAAGACGCCACTCCACTCCAAAAAGGTAAGTAGAAATCACGGGATGAAGTGACCATGGAATATGGGACTTAGAACAAAACAAATGAGAAACCAGCTTCTCAGTTCTCACTGTGGGGCCCCGGGCCCAGCCTCCCAGCTAGCTGGGACCACACGGGGTACATCCACACCAGCACGTTCAGGGTGGCCCTGGACCCAGCCAGGGTCCAACCTTCGCACCCTGAACTTGAGACACGAGCAGAGTGCTGGCGAGGTACCTGAGAGCAAAGTCCCAGCAGGACAGCCACACAACAAAGGGCAGACTCCAAGTTCACTCTCAGAAGACCTCGAGAGTCTGGAGCAAGAGGCAAAAACAAATGACAAATCCAAGACTGCCGTAAGCTGAGCGGTGTCTGAGGACTGAGACGGCGATCGCAGGACAGAGGGTGACAGACCAGCTGAACAGCCAGCACAAAGTCCCAAGGGTTCTCGCCAGTTGGCAAACGGGAGCAGCCTGGTGGCGTGGCCGCTGTCTGGGCCCAGAGCACACCCAGGGCCACCTTCTTAGGTCCCTTCTCTATTGGGAGCCCCACCCTTGGCCAGATGACAGGGTGGCTAAGGAAGGAAACCTGGGATTGGAGGGTACAGAAGTCACGCCCCAGCACAACGGGAAGGAGAAATCTCAGAGGGGATGAGATGCCGCCTTCAAGTCCCTGAGGAGTTACTAGGTGGGTAAAGAAAACTCGCTCTGCATAGCTGAGACAGAACGTGAGAAAGAAAGCAGTACGGACGAACAACAGCACCCATTTATTACACTTCTGCTGGCCAGCCAGGTGGCCTGGAGGATAAGGTGCTGGATCCCAAAGGGCCAACTGTGTGGTTCAAGTCCCAGACCCAGTGGCTTGAAAAACACACTGGGTGTGCATGCACCCCAAATCCCAGGAGCAGAATGAAGAGACTGCGACACGGCCATGTTCCCTGGAGGGTGATTTCTCAGTTTCCCTCTCTTTGTCTCTCTCCAGCAAGTACACACATCCTATGGCAAAATTAAAAACAAAAAGCACCTGCACTGCTGACCCTCTGAGCCCTGGAAGGCTCCCGGGAGAACAGAGGCCATGGGCACGGTGTGCAGAGCTTGGGGGAGTGAGGCAGGGCCAAGCAGCACAGAGAAGTGGCCTGCACTCTGCAGTCTCGGTACAGGCTCTCGCAGCCCATGCACACCTATCTATCTGCTCAACCGAAGCCTGGTCCAGGCATCAACATGAGAGCCAAGGGATGGAAACGGCCCAAACAACCATCGACGGAGAATGGAGGCGCAAATGCAGCCTATCTGTGAGCTGGTACTCAGCCAGAAAAAGGGGTGAAGTCCCGAGACCCACACCGACGTGGGTGAGCCTGGGGAGCATCATGCCACAGGAAAGCAGCTGGTCCCGACGGACTGCGTGGTGCACACCCCCACCCACATGGGATACCAGACCAGGCAAACATGGAGACAGGCCACGGGGAGGGGGAGCGGAACATGGCCACTGCAGGCTCCTTTTATGGGTGATGAATTAGATACTGATGTCAGTTGCACACCTCTGAATATTAAAATCCGCCAAACTATAAGCTTCAAGAGGGTAAATGGTAGGACTAGCAGTTGGTGTAATGGCTATGTTGCTGAACTCCCATGTAATAGGCTGCGGTTCAAGTCCTGGACCTGGTGGCTTAAACTCATGCCGGGCGCATGAGTGTGTGTGTGCCCAAGATCCCGAGAGGAGACTGGAGAAGAGACTGCAGCGTGGCCATCGCCTGGGGTGGGGGTGATTTCTGTCTCTCTGTCTCTCTGTCTTTCTGGTGAGCGCACGTGCCCTACAGCAAAAACCTCTCAAAACAAAAAAAGAGTAAATGGTATGGCACGGGGCATCAGTAAAGCTGTTATGTATGGGTTTTTTTCTTCAGAGATTTTGTCATAGAGTGCATGCATTTGCCGGAGAGACAGAGACAGACAGAAAGCCAGAAATCACCCCCTGGTGGCGAGGGCCACATCGCAATCCCTTCTCCTCAATTCTCCTCTCGGGATTTTGGGCACACTGCAAACCGGGTGTGAGTTTTAAGCCACCAAGTTTGGGACTTGAACCACGGTCAGCCCTGTGGGAGTTCAGTACCTTAACAACTATGCCACCTCCTGGCCCCAGCTGCTCCTTTTTTTAAAGGTCTTTATTAACATCTTCCCTTGATACTCAGCTCTGTGAGGTGGGCATTTCGCAGATGCAGATAATGGAAAGAATGGAGGCTTAGCGACATCAAACTGCAAATGGTGGAACTGGGATTTGAACCCCACTTATCTGTCCAATCTAAACCTCCTGCCCAGTCGCCATGCTGGTTACACCAGGTAGATGTCAGCTGGACGTGGGAAACTACAACAGCCCCCCACCAGTGGTCCGGCAGAGTCGGACACCTCCCGCCAGGGCTGGGGCAGGTGGCCTGCCTTTGGAGGAGGGGATACCTGACAACCCTCCACCACCTTCCAGCTGAGAGCACCCCCACACTCTGGTAAATCTCACAGCTCCTAAGGTCTTCTAGTTTCGATGCGGTATCTTTAACTATTCTTGGTTCCATATGCATAAGAAAGTGGTTTTTCCATCATTTTTTAGACTTTACACATTTTCCACTATTCAAAATTAACACTGGATACAGAGACACATTTCAATCACTTGATAGAAGGACGGATTCACACAGTGGGTCATGGACTGTCTGTGGCCAGCAGGATGACTTACAGTGAAGTTCATCTCCTTGATGGGCAGCTTCAAGTGTTCGAATCCCACGACCACGGTGTACTGAGTGTAATTCAGGTAGCCGAGGTGAGCCACTATGATTTCTGCACACTCCTGCGAACACACCAGGAAGTTCTGTGTCTTTAAAGTGAGAAAGAGCCTCCTCCTGCTGACTGACCCAGGAGGGACATTTCCACGACAAATGAGCAGCACTCGTCCGCTCCAGGGAACTCGCCCAAAGCCCAGAAAAAGGCAGATGCCAGCCAAAAGCCATTCCTAGAGAGAGAACCAAATGGATGGCTCCAGGACAACCTGTGGCTTAAGTTCACTGGCATCTGCTTCGGGTGACTGCAGGAAAAGTGAACAGTGCAACGCCAACCGGACATTTCCCGGCTCCGCACGCTCCGGCCACATGGCAACCTTGACGGCACTGATACCACAGCCCTCGGCTGGGGGGCTGCCCTGGGAGGGCACGTGGCCTCTGGCTGACCACTCGCACTCCCCACGCTCCCCTGCCATCTTCACCCCACCTGGGCTGCCCACCCTGGGCGTGTGAGCGTGTGATCCCACCCTTAGTCACTAAACTCGCCCTCCCCTGACAGTCTGCTCTGATGACACGCAAGGTGGCCAGCCAAGGTCTCTGCAGCAGGAAACACAGCTGTGCTGGAGGGAGCACTTCACAGTTTATAAATCCATCCCCCGGGGCCCAGTGGCACCATGGTAACACAACTGTCTGGGAGGCTGTCTCACGGGGAAAGGCTTGCATCCAGAGACCCTCCTGAACAGCTGGGCATGCGTGTTCCATACCCAGGCTGGCTGAAGCTGGGGTGGATCACCCAGTGTGGGACGGCCCTGCTGGGGTGTCAGAATGGCCTCAGACATGCTGTCTCTGTCTCAATCTCTCTCCTTTGCTCACAGAAGATAAAAATAAGTTTTTCGCTTTTTTAGCTTGTGCTACAGGGCGCATATGTTTGCTGGAGAGAAGGTGAGAGAGAACGAGAGAAAGAGAAAAACCACCCCCCAGCAGGGATGCAATCCCTTTTCCTCTATTTTTCTCTTAGAATTTTGAGCGTGTACGTATGTGTGCGCAGCACAATTTTCAACAACCTAACGGTCAGCGAGTCCCTGGTCAAGCCACAGCCTTGCTGCTGACATCGGTGCACCCCTGCAAACCACCTGGCGAGGCACACAGCGGTCTCACCTCAAGGTGCAGGCCACCTGGCTGCCTCGGGCAGTTTTTGTCTTTCCCTCAAAAAGGAAGGGAATACAAGAGGGTGGAGAGTGCCTCTCTAACATAAAACTTACAAATCTGCTAAGCCAAGGCAATGCTCCTTGCAGTTTAGAGACCTGAGGAGATGGGACAGAAATGTTCTCTAGGGGAGAGGCGGTGTAAGCTCAGGTAGGGCCACCCCCAGACAAGGAAGAAGCCACAGAGATGCAGGGGAGGCCCATGCCACATGTGCAGCATGGTGTGTGCACCCGAGAGGCCGTGTCAGACTCGCGACCCTCAGGTAGCCTGGCTCTCTGGAGCACAGGCCATGGGCAGGGCCCGAGCCGGTCGTCCCATGTGCTGGTGAGGCCCTTGGTGTGGGCAGGCCAGGACAGCTGGCTACGCTGGCTGTAGGAAAAGCCTCACCACCATGTGACTCCTGTGCCCCAGGCTGAGGCTGGCCCTGGTGTCCTGCCTGGGAATGGGGGATGGCAGATGCTTGCTTGGAGATGGCTGTGGTGACCCTCCCTCCTGTTACTCAGCAGAGGAACAAGCACCTCTGCCCACAGCACGGTGCGGGGACACTGGGCGCCCTGAGCTGGCACACGTACATAGGCACCCCGCACATTGCTCACCTTGGTCTTCGTCACTCTCCCCAGGGAGGGCGCAGTCCCCACAGAGGTGAAAACGCGCTCAGACGCTGGCTCGGCCCTGCTCACAGAACGAGAGGCAGTGCCTTCTGGTGCCCTCCCTGGCCTGTGACAGACGCAGCAGCTGGGTACCGAGGGCAGGCGCCGATGCTGTGCTGACCAGCATACCTGTCTGTGGCCCAGGGTGTCAGGGGGGATCTGACCTCGTTCTCTCCCATTAGACAGCGCTGGCTGCTGCTCGGGAAGCCCCTGACCTGAGTTCTCGCTGGCAGGGTGAACAGGGCTGGTACTTTCCCTGGCAGCAACTTGGCTGTGTGGTAGTGACAGCCGCCAGCTCCAGGGTAAGGGAGCGTGGCTTCAATCCTGGCTCCTCCACCTACCGCTGTGTTGCCTTAGGCCACGGTTCTGACCTAAGGCTCCATGTCTTGCATCAAATGAGGCTCTAATAACAGTTTGCACTACGTGGGCCTGGCGTGAGGCTCTGCGGAGACTGTGCTTGGAGAGCCCCTGGCGGGACACCCGGCATAGAAGCCGCCACTCCACATCTGGTGCACACACATCCCTTTTCCCGTCCCAGCATCAAATGCACTGTCCTTTTGTGACACTCCCCAAGTCCCCAGGTGCCATTAACCTGCTGCGTGCTGATACCAGCTCTGGAAAAGGGATGTGAGTCTTCGGATTCAGAACAGAACATGGGACCGATGAAAGCAAGAGTGAGGCTCGCCCCACCCCGGCCGTCAGGTCTCCCACCCACAGGCACACAGTGCACCCTGAAGCAGAGGCTCCAAAAACGGCCATGGACCCCCAGAAGTCCAGGTACTCTGGGTACTCTGCCCCCACGGCCAGAGTCGACCTAAAAACCTGGCGAGGGGATGACAGTGGACGGGCAGACCGACATGCCAGACAGGGGCCATGGCTGTTCGCTCTGGATCCAGCCAGCAGTACGTGACGGACAGGAAGACCAGGTACAGCCGTGCTCAGGGCGTGTGTGCAAATGTACGCAGTGTCCATGTGTCTGCATGTGCATGTGTTAGCGCGTGTGCATGTGAGTCTGTAAGAACTTGTAAAGGCAGCTTTCAGGGGAGCCTTCCACGCCATCATCCCATGACCGTCTTAACCTGGGGACAATTTCGAAGCATCCTGCTGTGCTCTGTGCTCTAAGCCAGGGAGGCAGGTCTGTGATGGTGCAGAGCCTGGTGGCATAGCCGGGCACACTCACCCCTGCACACGTGAGCGTCCTTGTCCGGTTATGAACTTTGTTGTGAATGTACATGGTGGTTCCATCCTGAGCTACGCCGTCAACTTTTACGGTCATGGGAAAGCTCGTCTGGATAGAAGTTTCTACAAGAGAAAGAAGTACCGGTGAGAGGCCCTGCCAGGTGTCTCACAGGGCAGAGGGCTGCTTGGCTCTGAAACGGCCTTGGAGCCGCAAGGGCCCTTGGACACACACCCCTGGCGTATCCGAACCTCACGTGTGCCCTGCGGAGTACAGCCTTTACGTTGGATTCTCCTTCCAGCCCATTTCTCAGGGGCCTACGGAAACCCGCGGCTCAGATCCCATCAGCTGCCCAGCACAGAAGGCCAAGTATTTCATGGCTACTGAAGTATTTTTAACTTCCCGTGTGAATTTTCAATTTAACTTTTATAATTTTCAACTTAACAACAGAAGTCAATCTATTTTTTTCTAGTTATAAAGTTATTATTCTTCTGATTATAATCTTGTTATGGAAAAATATTGGAAAACAAAGCATATAAAAATGGCGTTGAACACCTATCATCCCACTGCCCAGAGATAACCACAATTAACACCTCTGTGTCAGTTATTCCAAATTGTTTTTTGTTATAAGTAGTAGTAATACCAAATTCATTTTTGCTTTTTAAAATATTACCAAAAGGGGTAATTTTTTGGTAACATGTACCCCTTTTTTTAAAACTTCATTCACTATGGTCTTTGAGTTATTTTTTAAAATTCTTTTTAAACTCATCTAAACCATAGGACATAGAAAATAACCTGGTGACCAAATTCTCAATTCTCTCTGCGATGAAACAAAACTAGGGCATTTCAGATGAGCAGAAGGTAGGTCCTTGTAGACACGGGAGGCCGGAGACAGGGGTTTCTGAGTCTCGGGAACACGGACATCCGGGCCAGGCAACTCCTCACGGCAGGGGTCTGTCCTGGGCGTTGCAGGGTGTTCAGCCACACTCCTGACCTCTGCTCACAGAAGCAGTGGCACTCCTTTGTCCCTTGCTGTGACAACCGACACTGTCTCCTGACGTTGCCAAGTGCCCTGGGCAGAGGCACCGCTGCAGAGCTGCTGTGGCCAGTGCCCTGGGAGGATGGGGCCCGGCTTACTTTCCCTTCCACTGGGAGACACCTGGGGGCTTCAGTTTGTCCACTGAGAACAAAGACGTTCCCCGCTCATCCACCTTTGTGCCCTTATCGAAATTTGAAGTCCTTTCAGCTTCTAAAATATGATACCTGTACAGAGAAACAGCATCCCCAAGTTCCAAGCCTCATACCTTTTGATTGATTCAACTCGATGACACACGTCAGCCACAGCTGCTGATTATACGTGGACAGAGGATTTGAAAGTATTCGGATTGGCTTTAGCTGAAAAGAAAAAGAAAAAAAAAGAAGTCAGGTAATCCACATGAGCTTTTCGGGCTACCAAATACCTTATATATTTATTTATTATATGGCGAGGTTTTTGCTATAGGACGTGTGTACTCACCAGAAAGAGAGACAGAGAGACAGAAAGCGAGAAATCACCCCCCAGGGGACATGGCCACGCCACAATCCCTTCTCCTCCATCCTCCTCTTGGGATCTTGGGCATGCATGCACACGCGTCCAGTGTGAGTTTACACCACTGGGTCTGGGATTCGAACCGCAGTCGGCTATATGGGAGTCCAGTGACATAGCCATTACGCCAACTGCTGGTTCCCCCAATACCTCCTTTTCTTTTTTTTTTTTTTTGAAGAGGTTTTTGCTATAGGGTGCGTGCGCTCACCAGACAGAGACAGAGAGAGATAGAAAGCGAGAAATCACCCCCCAGGGGGGATGGCCATGCCGCAATCCCTTCTCCTCCATTCTCCTCTCGGGATCTTGGGCACACACGCACACGCGCCCGGTGTGAGTTTAAGCCACCGGGTCCGGGACTCGAACCGCAGTCGACTACGTGGGAGTCCAGCGACATAGCCATTACGCTAACTGCTGGTCCCCCCAAATACCTTATTTTAACACACAAAATTTATATTCAGTGAAAGGCACGAGTGTTAGCTCTGAAACCGAAAGTGCAGTTTTCCTCCCGGCAACCTCAGTGAAACTGCCTTGCAGGAGGTGAAAGGCCCAAGCCTGGTCTGTGACTCCCTTCCGCCCCTCAAACCACTACGCAGGTGCTCTGCCTCTCCGCGAGCCTTGGGACAACATATTTCTTAATTATGAAGAAGTCATCTTGCAGAAAAAAGAAGCAGCAGAATGCTGACGTAAAAGGGTAACAGATGACACCAAAGCGGTCCATCAGCGTTTACAAGATAAAGTGCCCGGATGGCGGCGTCTTCGGTGCTGGTATGCCAGACAGGTCACGGTTGGACGTCTGTTACTTTTAGCTTTATGAAAGTCTTCATACCCCTGGGGAAAAACATTAGAGGGACCATATTGCCAATGATTCCTCTGCTGTGTATTTATTTTGATTGCCAGAGGGTGCTTGCCAGAGAAGAGAGAGAAGAGACACAGCATCGCCCCCACAATGGGACATGGCCATGCCACTACCCTTCCTCCATTCTCCATCCCATCAGGATTTTGGGCACGCACACACCCAAAATAAAGTTTAAAGAAATAACGCAATAAGTAAATAAAAATAAAGATATAAAGAAAGGAATGCAAAGAAAATGTGAAGACAGGCTCAACAGAGACCCTTTCAAACTAGCAGCAGCAAACCAGGTCAAAGGGGGTAAGTATTAGGCTATTTTTCTTCTTTTGCCTTTTCGACAAATTGCAAGAGTAGAACCCAGGCAGGGAAGTGGGAGAGCAGAGAGAAAGGGGATTTGGGCCAAATAATCAGATTTAAACAATACGTGTTATGGAACCATGAAAATGCAGTACAGTTGTGTTCGGCTGAGAGGTAAAGACACTATGTGCGACACACAGAAAAACAGAAGGGCTAGCTGGGCTCTCACCAAAGAAGGAAACAAATTCTCCAACTGAAAGGACTTCTGTTTTTCTCTAAAGATTGTCGCTAAGATTTGAATGTATCTCCCCAAATTCATGTTTTGGAATTGGATTGGATTGTGAAGCTATTACAAGACTTGATCCTTTTATGGTGTTGAAGGGTGGGGCCTTAGGGAAGAGCGATTAGGCAGCAGGGTGGGCCCCCAAGATCTACTCAGGGTGGGTTTACGAGAAACCAGAGACAGGACCCAGACACGCGCCTCTGCTCTGCGTCGTCTTGCCACGTGACCCACCCACAGGACGACCGTCCCCAGGAACTTGGACTGCTACACGGTGAGATGAATACACCTTTATTTTTATAATTAACTAGACTCAGGTAACTCTGTGACTAGCAACAGAACAGACTAAAACAATGGTGAAGAATCAAGACACATTAAAAAAAAAAAAAAAACCTGAGCTCGTGGAAGAAATACTAACCATTAGAAAGAACTGTTCCCATGAGAAACTGGACAGAGAGAACAAGCCCTAACTTGAGCACATATACCAAGGAAGGACAAGATACCTAAGTGATTGTTGTTAGACCTTATCATCTGGGCTGGAAGGTAGCACAGTGGTTAAGGTGCCGGACTCCATCATGGCCGACTACGGTTCGAGTCCCAGACCGGTTGGCTTGCTTTCTCACTTTGCCTCTCTCTCTCTCTGGTCAAATTTAAAAATAATAATAAATAAATAAAATAAAATTATTCTTAAAAGTTATCATTATCTAGTAGGCGACTGGTATGGGTTAACCTCCCTTTGGAAAGTCGTGATGTCCCCCAGCTGCCACTCAGGCCCAGTCTTGCGTCTTACCTTTCTACTATTACTTAGTGAAAAACTTGCTGCTGCTTCCTGGAGGTAACGGCACCCTTCCTGAGCACTGGCGCACTTACTACAGCAGAAAAGGGGATTCCAGCAAAGAGCCCCGAGGCCAGCGGCCGACAGTACAGTAAGTACCGATGCTTTGGAATTCCAAGTGTGGATTTTTAGAATGGCATTTTACAAATGACAGATTTGGGAATTACATGATTAAGAATTTGGTAAATGGAAAGATTAGTATGGTCTATTTCTTTTTTTTTTTGGAGAGATTTTTGCCATAGGGCACATGCGCTTGCCAGACAGAGAGAGAGAGAGAGAGAGAGACAGAGAGACAGAAAGTGAGAAATCACTCCCCGGGGGGGTGGCCACGCCACAATCCCTTCTCCTCCATTCTCCTCTCGGGATCTTGAGCACGCACACACACGCACCCGGCATGAGTTTAGACCACCGTGTTCAGGACACAAACCGCGGTCGACTACATAGGAGTCCAGCGACATAGCCATTAGACTAACTGCTGGTCCCAGTATGGCCTATTTTTAAAGTTGCTCTGTTAGGTTCCTCATGGATTTTCAGATGTCTTAGTTTCCACTTGTCGTTATTGTTGCTTTTCTAGTTTTGTGGCTTTGTGGTTATATCATTTTTTTACACCAACTTTATGGTCTTGTCTTTCTGTGGTAATTGCAGGTATTCAGGAGCTTAAACGTTTGACAGGGCTTTAAGTAAATTCGGTCACATTTATACGTAGGCACATTTTATGGCAAATGTGTGGGTTTCTGAATTTACAACAGATCTGTTTATTTCAGTATGCGGTAAACAACAGCTTAAAGCATCCTATTCACTACTGTTCATTTAAAAAGTTATGATTAATATGAAAAAAAAGAAGAAAGTGTTGCCCGAGAAGCCAGGTAAGGGCAGCCTATCTTTTTTCCCTTTTATCGCATTTAATTACATATATCTTTACAGTGTATAACGTTTCTTTTCCCATCACGATTACCACGCATATCAGTCAAGACAGTCATTACTAGCCACATCATCATCAAATAGATTTGCTTTTTTTTTTTTTTCTGTTTTTTTTTTTTTTTTTTTTTTTTTTTTTTTGTTGTTCGTTTGTTTGTTTTGAGCAAGCATATGGTTTTATTTCCTTGCCTTTAGGCTACACTTATGAATAAAACATATGTTTTTCTTCTAGACATTGTAAAGTAACCATCATTCGCAGAGGCAGGAAGTACTCATTTCCTAGTGAAGACACACTTTTTAACTATCACAGAAGGATGAACTCTACGTGAAAACTGTTATAAATACATGGCAAGCATAATTAGGGGGAGGGAAAAACTTTCTAAGACAAATGGCAGGGACCAGCAGTTAGCGTAATGGCTATGTCGCTGAACTCCCATGTGGTCGACCGGGTTTGAGTCCCGGACCCGGAGCTTAAATTCACGCCGGGCGCGTGTGCATGCATGCCCAAGATCCGAGAGGAGAATGGAGAAGGGATTGCGGCGTGGCCATCCTCCCAGGGGTGATTTCTTGCTTTCTATCTCTCTGTCTCTCTCTGTCTCTCTGGCGAGCTCATGCACCCTAGAGCAAAAACCTCTAAAAATAATAATAATAAAGACAAACGGCAAAGGCTTTCTCTTTAATAAATTCTTTGGTCATAAAGCAGGTTTTGAGTGGTATTTGCTCTATGAAGTAATAATGGATTTTGCTGGTGTCTCTTCTGTGTATTCCTTGAAGACCAGAATAAAATGAATTATCCTGGGTTATAGTGCATAGAACATAGTTAATGCAATTTACCTTGTTTTAGTGCAAAACAATTACAGAATGAAAATATATTTTAGATTTGTGATAGCATATATTATTTATACTACTGCTGAGCATGTTGCATAAATTTTTCATCCTTTAAAAATATGACTCAGAGGTTCCTAACAGGAAGGATAAACAACAAACACCAACTCCTCGTACAGCTTCCCATGACTCCTGACGATGGTTTGCATCCACTGGCCCACAGACTCGCTTTTTCTATGCCTATGTGGGTTATTTTCTACACCATAGCTATCATCTGATTCAGCTGCTCAATTTGTTCAAACTCCTTTCCACCATCTGGGTGCTTCCTTTTCTTTTGCGTATACATTTCACAAAGCAGAATAATAGCCACCAAAAGAACCACCTCAGCCATACTGGTTTGAGGGGCACCAGATAGCTCAGAACGACAAGTTCAATGTGCTGTTCACTCTCGCCTAGTGGGAACACTGCCTGGTACCAGGAAGACCCTCCATCTTCCTCCGAAAGTTGTGTTACCTTAAGTCTCGTTTCACTAGCACGTTCCATTGACCACATACTTATTCATGTGGGCAAAACTGTACACTCCAACTACTACGATACCAGGTCCACCTCGAAGGAAAAGTCTTGACATTTACATACCAGGACAGTAGAATCCCCCAGTAAGTAATCATGGTTTGCTTTTACCATGAGTTTCAGGGACTTTGAAATGAAATGTTCCCTTCATTCCTCTCCTTCTTCAAAGACACAGGAACTTCCCAGCTGCTTGCTATCAATGACGGTGAACTTGTACTGGGGGTACAGGACGCTTCCTGTTGCGCTGACGAGGCAGCTATTCTCAAGTAGTTCATCACCTTTCCTCCAACTCACATTTACCGAATTTAGATCCCCAGATTTTGTAAGCTGGCACACAAGTGCTATATTAGAAGCTTTTCTTTTCTACTGGCATCCTAGAACGTTCAGTCAGTGATGTTATGACTCTCTAAGGAAAGGTGGAAGTATTTTGCCATCATTTCTTCTCGGACAGGTAGATTAGTGAATCTGGGGATTGCTGTCTGCCAGGCTCACGTGTGCTGCGACCAGGAGGCACAAGGGGAACAGCCAGGACGGCGTGCTCGGAACCTCCGCAGACAGGGGAGGGCACTCATGGCGCCGACAGGTCTGCCGTGACCATCCCAGTGTGCTCTCCCTCCGGCTCTCCACTCTCTGTGGTCTGGGTCCGGAGTCGCTGTGCACACTAACCGGCGGCAGGGGGCCAGCTGCCAGTCCCGGGGACAGCATGCAGGAGAAAAGGTGAACTGGGAGGGGCCCAGCCACCCTGCCCTCCTCCCCAGAGACTACCTCGGTGCGCCAGAGGCCAGCCCTGCACTGTGCCTGGCCGTGCCATCAGTTATGCAGGCACAGCCCCGGATTATTATTATTATTATTTTTAAAACTTTTATTTTTATTTTATTTAACTTTATTTATTTATTTTTAA